GTGTTGCATCCCTTTTTTTTTTTTCTTTTTTTTTTTTTGCTTATGACTTATCACCTTCGGAACGCCATAACTTTAAAACCGTGAGGCCAAACTCGACATGTGATACCTTTTCGGAAAGCCCAAAGAGAGCCCTTCGAGAGGGGCAATGGGCAATGGGTCTTCGTACCATTGTTTTTTTTTTCGACACCAAATTTTGATGTTTAGGGGCTTTTCCGGGCCATTTTGTCATCCGTACCATATTTCGGAACCGAAATCGATTTTTCAGACATTGTTTGCGCATATTTTCCATGTCTTGAAGCTCCTTAGGACTAGCCGGTGAGGCCCACGTAGCAGGTGGGTCCTACGGCGAATGATTCTTAGAGTCCGCAAAAAGGATAGATGCGATTGCATTGCATGTACTAACGGATGCGATCATACCAGCACTAATGCACCGGATCCCATCAGAACTCCGCAGTTAAGCGTCCTTGGGCGAGAGTAGTACTAGGATGGGTGACCTCCCGGGAAGTCCTCGTGTTGCATCCCTTTTTTTTTTTCTTTTTTTTTTTTTGCTTATGACTTATCACCTTCGGAACGCCATAACTTTAAAACCGTGAGGCCAAACTCGACATGTGATACCTTTTCGGAAAGCCCAAAGAGAGCCCTTCGAGAGGGGCAATGGGCAATGGGTCTTCGTGCCATTGTTTTTTTTTTCGACACCAAATTTTGATGTTTAGGGGCTTTTCCGGGCCATTTTGTCATCCGTACCATATTTCGGAACCGAAATCGATTTTTCAGACATTGTTTGCGCATATTTTCCATTGTCTTGAAGCTCCTTAGGACTAGCTGATGTGGCCCACGTAGCAGGTGGGACCCACGGCGAATGATTCTTAGAGTCCGCAAAAAGGATAGATGCGATTGCATTGCATGTACTGACGGATGCGATCATACCAGCACTAATGCACCGGATCCCATCAGAACTCCGCAGTTAAGCGTGCTTGGGCGAGAGTAGTACTAGGATGGGTGACCTCCCGGGAAGTCCTCGTGTTGCATCCCTTTTTTTTTTTTCTTTTTTTTTTTTTTGCTTATGACTTATCACCTTCGGAACGCCATAACTTTAAAACCGTGAGGCCAAACTCGACATGTGATACCTTTTCGGAAAGCCCAAAGAGAGCCCTTCGAGAGGGGCAATGGGCAATGGGTCTTCGTGCCATTGTTTTTTTTTTCGACACCAAATTTTGATGTTTAGGGGCTTTTCCGGGCCATTTTGTCATCCGTACCATATTTCGGAACCGAAATCGATTTTTCAGACATTGTTTGCGCATATTTTCCATGTCTTGAAGCTCCTTAGGACTAGCGGTGAGGCCCACGTAGCAGGTGGGTCCTACGGCGAATGATTCTTAGAGTCCGCAAAAAGGATAGATGCGATTGCATTGCATGTACTAACGGATGCGATCATACCAGCACTAATGCACCGGATCCCATCAGAACTCCGCAGTTAAGCGTCCTTGGGCGAGAGTAGTACTAGGATGGGTGACCTCCCGGGAAGTCCTCGTGTTGCATCCCTTTTTTTTTTTCTTTTTTTTTTTTTGCTTATGACTTATCACCTTCGGAACGCCATAACTTTAAAACCGTGAGGCCAAACTCGACATGTGATACCTTTTCGGAAAGCCCAAAGAGAGCCCTTCGAGAGGGGCAATGGGCAATGGGTCTTCGTGCCATTGTTTTTTTTTTCGACACCAAATTTTGATGTTTAGGGGCTTTTCCGGGCCATTTTGTCATCCGTACCATATTTCGGAACCGAAATCGATTTTTCAGACATTGTTTGCGCATATTTTCCATGTCTTGAAGCTCCTTAGGACTAGCTGGTGAGGCCCACGTAGCAGGTGGGTACCCTACGGCGAATGATTCTTAGAGTCCGCAAAAAGGATAGATGCGATTGCATTGCATGTACTGACGGATGCGATCATACCAGCACTAATGCACCGGATCCCATCAGAACTCCGCAGTTAAGCGTGCCTTGGGCGAGAGTAGTACTAGGATGGGTGACCTCCCGGGAAGTCCTCGTGTTGCATCCCTTTTTTTTTTTTCTTTTTTTTTTTTTGCTTATGACTTATCACCTTCGGAACGCCATAACTTTAAAACCGTGAGGCCAAACTCGACATGTGATACCTTTTCGGAAAGCCCAAAGAGAGCCCTTCGAGAGGGGCAATGGGCAATGGGTCTTCGTGCCATTGTTTTTTTTTTCGACACCAAATTTTGATGTTTAGGGGCTTTTTCCGGGCCATTTTGTCATCCGTACCATATTTCGGAACCGAAATCGATTTTTCAGACATTGTTTGCGCATATTTTCCATGTCTTGAAGCTCCTTAGGACTAGCTGAGTGAGGCCCACGTAGCAGGTGGGTCCTACGGCGAATGATTCTTAGAGTCCGCAAAAAGGATAGATGCGATTGCATTGCATGTACTAACGGATGCGATCATACCAGCACTAATGCACCGGATCCCATCAGAACTCCGCAGTTAAGCGTCCTTGGGCGAGAGTAGTACTAGGATGGGTGACCTCCCGGGAAGTCCTCGTGTTGCATCCCTTTTTTTTTTTCTTTTTTTTTTTTTTGCTTATGACTTATCACCTTCGGAACGCCATAACTTTAAAACCGTGAGGCCAAACTCGACATGTGATACCTTTTCGGAAAGCCCAAAGAGAGCCCTTCGAGAGGGGCAATGGGCAATGGGTCTTCGTGCCATTGTTTTTTTTTTCGACACCAAATTTTGACGTTTAGGGGCTTTTCCGGGCCATTTTGTCATCCGTACCATATTTCGGAACCGAAATCGATTTTTTCAGACATTGTTTGCGCATATTTTCCATGTCTTGAAGCTCCTTAGGACTAGCCGGTGAGGCCCACGTAGCAGGTGGGTCCTACGGCGAATGATTCTTAGAGTCCGCAAAAAGGATAGATGCGATTGCATTGCATGTACTAACGGATGCGATCATACCAGCACTAATGCACCGGATCCCATCAGAACTCCGCAGTTAAGCGTCCTTGGGCGAGAGTAGTACTAGGATGGGTGACCTCCCGGGAAGTCCTCGTGTTGCATCCCTTTTTTTTTTTTCTTTTTTTTTTTTTTGCTTATGACTTATCACCTTCGGAACGCCATAACTTTAAAACCGTGAGGCCAAACTCGACATGTGATACCTTTTCGGAAAGCCCAAAGAGAGCCCTTCGAGAGGGGCAATGGGCAATGGGTCTTCGTGCCATTGTTTTTTTTTCGACACCAAATTTTGACGTTTAGGGGCTTTTCCGGGCCATTTTGTCATCCGTACCATATTTCGGGACCGAAATCGATTTTTTCAGACATTGTTTGCGCATATTTTCCTTGTCTTGAAGCTCCTTAGGACTAGCTGATGTGGCCCACGTAGCAGGTGGGACCCACGGCGAATGATTCTTAGAGTCCGCAAAAAGGATAGATGCGATTGCATTGCATGTACTGACGGATGCGATCATACCAGCACTAATGCACCGGATCCCATCAGAACTCCGCAGTTAAGCGTGCTTGGGCGAGAGTAGTACTAGGATGGGTGACCTCCCGGGAAGTCCTCGTGTTGCATCCCTTTTTTTTTTTTCTTTTTTTTTTTTTGCTTATGACTTATCACCTTCGGAACGCCATAACTTTAAAACCGTGAGGCCAAACTCGACATGTGATACCTTTTCGGAAAGCCCAAAGAGAGCCCTTCGAGAGGGGCAATGGGCAATGGGTCTTCGTACCATTGTTTTTTTTTTCGACACCAAATTTTGATGTTTAGGGGCTTTTCCGGGCCATTTTGTCATCCGTACCATATTTCGGAACCGAAATCGATTTTTCAGACATTGTTTGCGCATATTTTCCATGTCTTGAAGCTCCTTAGGACTAGCCGGTGAGGCCCACGTAGCAGGTGGGTCCTACGGCGAATGATTCTTAGAGTCCGCAAAAAGGATAGATGCGATTGCATTGCATGTACTAACGGATGCGATCTATACCAGCACTAATGCACCGGATCCCATCAGAACTCCGCAGGTTAAGCGTCCTTGGGCGAGAGTAGTACTAGGATGGGTGACCTCCCGGGAAGTCCTCGTGTTGCATCCCTTTTTTTTTTTTCTTTTTTTTTTTTTGCTTATGACTTATCACCTTCGGAACGCCATAACTTTAAAACCGTGAGGCCAAACTCGACATGTGATACCTTTTCGGAAAGCCCAAAGAGAGCCCTTCGAGAGGGCAATGGGCAATGGGTCTTCGTGCCATTGTTTTTTTTTCGACACCAAATTTTGACCGTTTAGGGGCTTTTTCGGGCCATTTTGTCATCCGTACCATATTTCGGGACCGAAATCGATTTTTCAGACATTGTTTGCGCATATTTTCCTTGTCTTGAAGCTCCTTAGGACTAGCTGATGTGGCCCACAGTAGCAGGTGGGACCCACGGCGAATGATTCTTAGAGTCCGCAAAAAGGATAGATGCGATTGCATTGCATGTACTAACGGATGCGATCATACCAGCACTAATGCACCGGATCCCATCAGAACTCCGCAGTTAAGCGGTCTTGGGCGAGAGTAGTACTAGGATGGGTGACCTCCCGGGAAGTCTCGTGTTGCATCCCTTTTTTTTTTTTCTTTTTTTTTTTTTGCTTATGACTTATCACCTTCGGAACGCCATAACTTTAAAACGTGAGGCCAAACTCGACATGTGATACCTTTTCGGAAAGCCCCAAAGAGAGCCCTTCGAGAGGGGCAATGGGCAATGGGTCTTAGTACCATTGTTTTTTTTTCGACACCCAAATTTTGATGTTTCGGGGCTTTTCCGGGCATTTTGTCATCCGTACCATATTTCGGAACCGAAATCGATTTTTTTTTCAGACATTGTTTGCGCATATTTTTCCATGTCTTGAAGCTCTTAGGACTAGCGGTGAGGCCACGTAGCAGGTGGGTCCTACGGCGAATGATTCTTCGAGTCCGCAAAAAGGATAGATGCGATTGCATTGCATGTACTACGGATGCGATCATACCAGCACTAATGCACCGGATCCCATCAGAACTCAGCCAGTTTTAAGCGTGCTTGGGCGAGAGTAGTACTAGGATGGGTGACTCCCGGGAAGTCTCGTGTTGCATCCCTTTTTTTTTTTCTTTTTTTTTTTTTGCTTATGACTTATCACCTTCGGAACGCCATAACTTTAAAAACCGTGAGGCCAAACTCGACATGTGATACCTTTTCGGAAAGCCCAAAGAGAGCCCTTCGAGAGGGGCAATGGGCAATGGGTCTTCGTGCCATTGTTTTTTTTTCGACACAAATTTTGACGTTTAGGGGCTTTTTCGGGCCATTTTGTCATCCGTACCATATTTCGGGACCGAAATCGATTTTTCAGACATTGTTTGCGCATATTTTCCTTGTCTTGAAGCTCCTTAGGACTAGCCGGTGAGGCCCACATAGCAGGTGGGACCCACGGCGAATGATTCTTAGAGTCCGCAAAAAGGATAGATGCGATTGCATTGCATGTACTAACGGATGCGATCATACCAGCACTAATGCACCGGATCCCATCAGAAACTCCGCAGTTAAGC